TCTTCATCAGCCTGGAAGGTTTGGAAAGCGCCAAAAGTTTGGGAATATAGCGAAGGCGCAACTGCACAGCGTGGCGACCTCCGCGATGATGAAGATCGGCTCTTCAAGCCATGAGAACGTTGTGGGCTTTTCCGAGGCTCGGGTGGCTTTGGATTTGCGTCACCCGGTCGCATGAATCTTGTGCTGCCAGGATCAGCTCCAGGAGTGCTGCAAGATGCAGAAAGCTTTGCTCCTTGACAGAGCACTCGTCGAGACTGATTTTGCGACGGTGATCTTGTTTGGCGCTTTTTTTTGTGCTCAGGCTCTGTCCGCAGATGTTTGGGCACCCATGTGGGCGGCCTCGAGAGTACAGGATCTGTTATGACCCCGAGAAGTGGAAGTGGCGTTGCGTTCCTGGGCTTACTGTTGCTCCCGTCACTGACTGCTTGCCCAAATTGTCCCGCCGAGGCATGGTCCTTTCAGGAACTGACGGATAAAGTCCTCCTGTCCAAGAAGACTGCCGTGCATCTTCGGCCGAGTTGTTTCAACTTGGCGACAGAATCCGAAGACAAGGTGACGGAGAAAGACCTGCCAGAGCAGACGGCTCAGAATTTATTCGGCCAGTCTTTGTCATGTTGCATCGGCAGCAAAGAAATCGGAATCAGTGAGGTCGCATCGCAAGCATCTTTCGGACTTTCGGCGCTTGGCGCCGGAGAAGAAGATCTTCGATCTGAATTCGAATCCCCGGATGAGACTTCGCACCGATCTGCAGCACGGGGAAATGCCAACTTTGACCACGAACATGGCACATGTTTGGTCATGTCCTCGGTCTGCTTTTCTTTGTCCTCTAACTCCTGACAGAGTGTCGTGTTATGTGAGGTCGGAGCATCTCCAGCGGTGCTTTACGGGTCGTGAGAAGCTGGCATCATTGGGCTATCCTACGTATGGCGTGATGTGTGCTGCCAGCCATGTTGCTTCTGGGCGTGCATTTGGCTGTATGCCATGTCCCGTTTTCTGGAACTGGAAACCGATCGATGATTGACTTCAGTTCATAGGATTGCAGCTTCTCGTCCTGAGCCTTATAAGTAAACTGCCGCAGCATAAATCATTTCTGTGGCGTCCACAGCTACGACACAGGCACCGTGTAGATATGTATATATATATATATAGACACACACATAGACACATACATGTTAAACATCGTATCCATATCTGAATCTGTAGGCATTGATTCCAAGCAAACACAAGCACCTGCGAGCGCCTCCAGCCGGCAAGTACAACGCACAGCCTTGTCTAGTTGCAAATTTACAAGAAGGAAATGCTAATTGCTAAGCGGAACAGCACGTAGTTCACAAGGCGAAAAGTAAAAACATGTCAGAAATGGAAATCCAAACGGAGTCAGTAGTAGTAGTAGCACTAGAAGAAGCAGTAGTAGTAGTAGCAGCAGTAGTAGTAGTAGTCGTCGTAGTAGCAGTAGTACTTGTAACATTGATCGTGCAGCAAGCAGCTTTCGGGAGAACCAGCGTGCAAACATCGTCTTGCATGCCATTGGTTGAGCGACCTGGGAGATGGACGAAGGACGACGGACGAAGACGACTGACCACGAAACCATCCGTCTTGCGGCTTGAACCCGCGTTTCTTCTAAGTACCATACAGCATTGGCCCGCGTCACTGGTGTGCATGTTGCAGTCAGGATTCGGAGCATGCGTGGGGGCTTGGGCGGCCGATTGCGAGTAGGTTCTGAAAATGTGCACGTGCGGCACTGCCGACTCTGGCGATGCATGGATTCTTGGTAATTTCTTTGCCGTGTCACATGCCATGTGGTGTATGCCGATCCAAACACTAGTGCGAGTACACCTATACGATATGTAACTGTGTGCAAACATCTGAATATCATAATACATATATACATAATATAATATAGTTAATATATATAATATATATATATATATATATATATATATATATATATATATATGATATATAGTTGTACATACATATGTATGCATACATACATACACACATACGTACGTACACACATATGGACACAGAGTCCTACGGATAGATAATCATATGCACATGCAGACATTTGTGTGTGTGTGAGAAGCTCCAGAGCAGCACGAGCAAAACAGCAGCTTCAAACTTCATACCTGCATGCGCATTTCGTAAGTAAAGCTCACTGTAACTATGTCTGTACATATGTACGTACATAAAAACATACGCTCCACGTTGTCATTTGCATGGCTTCAACATGAAGACTAAGAGTGTGAAAAAGCTTGACGTGTGTTTCGATCCCGCACCACGCGCCCTGCCCAACAACTATTTAAACTTTCATTTAGAGTGCGAGCGAGGGAGGAGGGAAAGCACAATACTATCGACTTTGTGGTCCTGCGGCATAAGAGGTCCTTCTCTCACTCTCCGTCCTTTTGTGTAGTAACTGAGTCATTCTAGTATGAGTGGAGTAGTACTCACGCACCATCCCAAAATGTGACTCTCCTATCTCCACTGAGTGGTTTCAGAGCACATGTGCCTGGGAGAAGAGGCTCATGGCATGAAGCGGCATCCAACAGTTGAGCAGAAATCGACCGATAGAAGTTGCTGGCAATCTGAAGGTCGCTTAAAATATTATAATACTACAAAAGACTCCAATGCCTAGGATGTGGAGGGCATTCTATAGCCATGCCCCTTTTGGGCAAGTTACTGTACAAGTATAATAGGAGTACTAGTAGTAGTAGTAGTAGTAGTAGTAGTAGTAGTAGTAGTAGTAGTAGTAGTAGTAGTAGTAGTAGTAGTAGTAGTGCTGCTGCACATGAGATGACTGACGATGCAGATGGTGATGTCGCTCTTCCTGCCGATGGTGATGTCGCCTCGAATTTGTAAGGACCGCGTCACTTTCGATGACTTCACAGAGGCCAATCTCACGAGATTTGCCGGGAACGGCATGCACTTGCCGTCTGTGGCGTGGTCTTTGCTTTGCCAGATATTGTGCTTGTCGGAAGCGGATTCAAACGCGTGACCTGAGAAAAGCAAGAGTTCAAAAGAAGATGCTGTGTCAAGCAGTATTTGATTTGCAGCCGTTGCGATCAGCCACTTAGCATGATCATCCCATGGCTTGATTTCGCATTGCTCGCCCAGGTCTCGTTTTCGGAAAGGACAAGCCGGCACTGCGGGGCAGCACTGGCACGTGTTTCAAGCTTTGCCAAGAGCATCCTTAGAGCTGTCAGACCTGATTTTTTTACTTGTCTCGAGCATGCAGTTTGCAGACTGGCACTAAGTGGAGATGTCGATCTAAGAGAATCCGCAGTCGCAGCGTGAAGCCACCAAAACATGAAATGTGGCCTGTTCTGATTTCAACTCTTCTCCGAGGTTCGAATAGTGCATCGAAGCGCAACTTAGTCCAGATTTTCTCCCAGGTTCTAATAGCTTGGGTGCATCGAAGCGTAACTTAGTCCAGATTCAGTCCATGCTTCATACGGCGCATGGGTGATGAACTGCGAAATTTGCTCCGGGGTTCTCGGAGCCAAGCCTGTGAGGACGGGCGATCTGAGGATGTGGCTTCCAAGACGAGGCGAAGAAAAAGGCTTCAATCTGAATCTGATGCACCTGTCAATGACAGCCGACTGAAGTCTTCCCGATCTGGCAGTGCGAGCACCAGTTTGGCAGCCCTGGTGAAGGGCAAACGGGGACAACAGAGTTCTGCTTTGGAGTGTCAGGAGGCTGACAGTGCGAGCGGCGGTTTGGCAGCTCTTCTCAAGCATAGACAGGGACGACAGAGTTCTGCAGTGGAGGGTCAGGAAGGCGCGAGTCTCGCTGACCTGGTGCGACGCAGCAGTTCGGCTGGCACCGATGGGGAGAACATGGACTTGGCTGATCTCCTGGCCTCTAGAGCAGCCTCTGACAGCGAGCACTCCGATGATTGTTCTCATGGCGGGTCCGTGTTCGATCTTGGATGGGACAGACTCAGCAGGTTTATGGATGGACGTCTCTGGCAAAAGCTACAGACGAAAGAGGCAGCTGACGAGAAAGCCAAGGCCACGAGGCATTACAGCATGAAGAACCGAAACCAACGACAGCGGGTGAAGCATGACACCTTCGAGAACAATGGCAAGTCTGTGCAGCGAATACGCAAGGTCCTTTCATCGAAGTGTCAATGCCTCCCGACTGAGACGTTTCAGCTGAATCCGGGGCACGATTGAGATTTAAGTATATTTTTCTAAGAGATTATTGATAGTCGCTCGACAGAAAGACCTGCTTGGCGATGTAAGGTGCGGCGGAGACATGTTACCACAACCTGAAGACGAAGGACGTCAAAGCTTTTCTGGATTCCTTTTGGAGTTGCAGCAAGCAGGAGCAGGACCAGCTGGCAACCCGACCTTGAAGATTTGGGGATACGTGTCCAAGGATTGTTTAGAGCAAGTTAGCGTAAACCTAATGACCTAATTATTATAACGACAGGGTATCACTTCGAAGCAATGTTGCTAAATTAAGTCTTCCTCTCTTCTGTGCCAGTTGACTTCCTGCTTCTCTTCCAGCGGAAAACAGATGAGTGCCCCGCGTCGCTGGTCCTTGTTGGGTCAGAGCTTTGGGTCGGGACACTTGCCAGCATTCAGGTGGTCCTTACAAGTAAGTACCAATTTCACTCCGATTATTGCATATCATGTTGGAGTTGAGACAGGCAAGTGTTTGTCGCAACTGCTCGGTGTCGGAAGTCATCGACTCCGGAAAGATTTCAATCAGCTGCCGGACCTGAGATTTGGGTCCCGTGGCACTGGAGAGAAGCTTGCTGCTGCAAGCTGCAACGCATTTCTGCGCCTGCAATATCAACAAGTGGCAGAAGCTTTGCCAGACAGGCAGGAAACTTAAGGAATAGGTTCACAGCAGGCATCAGACAGGCTGTTTATGTGCGTAAAGACAGCATTAGAATGAATATGCGGGAAGCATGATTCAAATCGACCAGCTTGCCCCAAGCGAGGTTCATTAAGCGGGGGCAACAGCGCGAGCGATGTTTGGATGATGATGAAATGAGCGAACTGGAAGGGGCTGTCGCCTCCGATGCCGATGACAACGAGGAGGAATTGAAGGCATTCTGGTGGGTGGGGACTTCGGAACCGAGCAGCAAACCCCACTCGTCGCTAGCCCATGCCCGATGACAGTTATGTTATCTGATAGATTAGGTTTTCGCACTTTTTAAGCAGTGCTAATCGTTGATCAGGCAAAGCGAAAAGGGTTCAAGCTCAGTTTGCATGACTGCTTCCGTCTGGAGGCGTGGCTTGATCGCCCGGCTTCAGGGCCGCTGTATGGTGCAACTGTGGCCAACAGCCAGCTGGTTCGGCGGTACTTGCCACCTGGGTCCCTGCATGAGCTTTTCGAACATTACACTGCTGTCCAAGCAATGCTTGGGGCCAGCTCGGCCTCGCAGCTTGGAATGACATTGTGAGGACTTTGCAAAATGAAATCATTGGGTTTCGGAGGCCCTTGAGGTCATGATGTCGATCGTTGTCTTGTCTTGGTGTTGACTCAAGCTCTGCAAGTGCTGTTATGTAGCCACCGTCTGCTGCGGAGGTTCAGTACCTTTGTGCGGGTGTACAACGACAGCTGGAAGGATGTTCTGCGATTCAGGCAGAAGTCGATGCTCCCTGGTGCATTCTTGCAAAATTTTACTGTGCGACCAGCGACAATAACACAAAGGACACGACAGAGGATAGCAGCAAACAGCCTTCAAATGTCAAGTCAAGTTTCTTGGACGTAACCACTCCTGCATGGGAGGTTCACTACGTGCGAGATTTGCCAGCAGCTGAAGGCGTCTCTAGCTGAGAAAGAGCTCTCGCTGGAGAAGAAGCTGGGTTGCCTGCTAGCTTACAGGAACCACTTGAAAGATCAGTACGACGACAGGTCTCGGCTGTGGGAACTTGAGGCCATGTCCGCCGATCCATCTTCCAACGTCTTGCTACTTTCTGTAGATGGGATGGATCAGGCGAAGTTCGCCGTACCGAGGGATCCTCAATTGCGCTGTTCTTCCGCACTGTCTTCGGCCATCCGCCCGCGGATGATGGTGCATGCTTGCCACGCACATGGATACACTTTGCACATTCGCGTCGCCGACGAGACTGTCAAGCATGACAGCTCTTTCGTTTTGGATTTGGTTGCCGAGACCCTTGAAAAGGTGCACGTTGCGAAATAAAGATATGAGTCAGTAAGCTTGCCGTTAATCTATCTCTTCATCAAACATGAGGACTGTGTGTCTTTGACTGGATTGCTTTGTGCTTCTGGCCAAGCCATGCTGTTGTTCAGGTTCACGACATATGCGTGGATCGCAAGCAACGAATGCCAGACCAGATCATTCTTGCCGTGGCATGGCCTGAGAGAACAGGAAAATTTGAATAGTATTTTCCTGGAATAGGAGCCTAAGTACCTTAAACACGTGAAATAAATCAATTTTTCATTGAAGTTACTCCGGGCCTAACCCTGGGAGCGAACGTGTACCAGGGCGACAATTGCGTCCGTGAGAACAAGAACTCTTTCGTGCTCTCTTTTCAAAGTCTTCTGGTTCAGCGCTTCAAAGCACGTGTGGCTGGCCTGGCTTTCCTACGAAAGTCGCACACGCACAACGGCCTAGGCCGAGGGGAACGTTTGTTGGGGGTGCTTGGAGTACGTAAACGAAGAGGCTGGAATATTTTCCCTCAAACTCATTAGTACAATCAAGCTTCGGACCTGTCGGCCTTGATGTCAAGTTGCCTGCTTGTCCCGCAGATCAGCTATTCGGAATTTTGGCGCGGCGTCTGGCCTCGACTGACCGTATCTTGAACGACGAAGATGTAATCGAGGTGCTGCGGCAGGAATGCCGAAGGCCTTTGAAACCTTTCATTTCATACCAAAAAACTCTGACGTAGGAGTGAGTTCAAGGGTCGCCAACCCGGATATCCTGCATCCCTAATGTCAATTCGGAGTCTCGGGGGCAAGGGATTCAGGACTGGGGTCGGTGCCAGTTGGGGGCGCTTGTTTTGCAGGCCCGGTGTGCGGTCCTGGTTGGGCACGAATGTTTCCGTTTGCGTGGAGAAGACACCTGCTGTCCGAGCCTGGGCCGACCACGTCGGCAAAACTGGCGTGAAGCTGGAAGGCGGTCTGCTTTGCGACAAGACCTCGAATCACTTTTTCCTCTTCATGCTGTATCGAGGCGCATAATTAAAATAAGTTGAGGTTTATCATTTTGGTAATGGCTAAGATGGCTTGTAACTTCTGAACCATGGGCTTCATGGCAAACCCTAAGCCTAGTTGCTTGTCTTTTGTCTCTACACAGCTTCGCTTCGCCAGACCTGCCCGTACCACTACAAGAGCGGGTCAAGCGTCGTCGCGGCTTTTCCGCACCTGCGGCTCTGGATGTAGTCGTTCTCGTGAAAGAATACATTTGCTCGGACGATTTGGGCCAGGAGCCTCAAGTCGTCTTGCCCGTCTCCCGCTGTCTTCATGGCGGCCTTATCCCGTCTGGTAAGCATCCGCTTCGGGACAAAGAGTCTGCGAAAGTATCATGGACGAAGACGGGGCTCCTCGTGATCCAGGCATACGGTGCAGCCGGGCTGAACAGCTTTAGTTTGGCAAGTTATGCTCCTGCTTCAAAATGGTATGTATATTCAGTGAAGTTCTGGATTCTCAATGAAAGTGGTTATAAAAAGTTGTCAGGGAGTACGGGAAAGCATCGAAACCCGAATTTGCAGGCAGCGGGGCTAGTTTGAACTCATTGTCAATGTGGTAGTCGTGGTGTAGCGGATGTCGTGGTCGGGTACAGAGCACTGAAAGCAGAGTGTACTTACAGCACTCCCAAGGTGCTAACATGTGCTAACTTCTGACAAGGATTCGCTGGTTCTGGACCTTCGGTATAATTCGTGAATACTTAGATGCTCTGAAACCTTTCATCATGTTTGTATGGACCTTTTCGCAGAGTTCTGCATGCAACGGTCCTGACTCACATACAATAGGAGCCCTTGCTACCAGCCATCCACTTGCCTGCAGGCTCTATTGTAGACAGGTTCAGCCATTCCAGTGTGAAGTAAATTCTTTTGTAAAGTCAAGCTGAAGTGATGCAGCTACAGCAGCCTGGATATCTCTTGCAGATACACGCGCAGTGAGGCAGACTCAGATAATAAAAGTTATGGCTTCAGGCTCTGGAAGCCAGGTAACTTCTTAACCACGTCGTACTATTGTTCGAGAAACTGGCACTGGTTTGAAGCAATTGAATTTCCTGTGCGGCCAAAGGAAGAATACAGAAGGGCGTACGATTACTTGCAGCGACTGGTCAATGATGATATGTGGAGGCAAGCTCCACTGCGTTCTTTGCCATGGCTTGATTCCATCGGACAACGGCCGGGTGTGAACGATGCAGAGGCTTGCTTGCACCAGAGTGTGCTGGACGCATTGGCGCCGAAGGTACCTTTGCGCGTGGTCTTTCAGAGGCGTGCGAATGCAGAGTAAAAAACGGCGGGGCAGCGGCTGGCAGCGGATGGCTAGCGTAAATTAACTTCAGTCACTGCATTGATTCTGTGTTGCCATGTTCGAAAACTTTTCAATGCAGTTGTTCTGCCAGACTGCATTGATTTCTTTTTGTGTAGCAATAACGGGGTTTTCGAAGTTCCCTCTTCTCGAATTCCCGAGGCTGTCCTGGTATGGGTTTTCAATGCAGTTGTTCTGCCAGACTGCATTGATTCTGTGTTGGCTTGTTGGGAATAAGATCAATGCAGTAAGTGATGTTTTGCCTAGCGTAAGTTTCGGTGTCAAGGGTTTTCGGGTCAGTGAAAATCAACGCAGTGGTTCTGATCTACTGCATTAATAATCTGTGTCATCATATGTGCGCTGCATTGAAAATCCGCGTCGGCAACTGGCACTGCATCGAAAATCCGCGTCGGTAACTGCCCGGTGCATTGATATTCGGTGTTGGTGTCCTGCGCGTTCAGGGAGGTCGGTGTTGGGTAAGTTCCCCTTTCAATCTAGAATCCATTCTCATGCGAGGCCCTAGGCACGTGTTCTTCCTTCCAATCCAGTCAGCTTCGGCATCTAATTAAGTAGGATCTGTTCTAACTCCTGATGCAAGACTTGCGCCAGGTCCGTTTCATCACAGCTTCGCAGCATGGGCCTGAGATTCCCCGGCCTTCAGTCGTATGCTGGTCTGCATTCAGGGTTTGGCCCGTTAGTGGGTGCAAGTAGGATGTTTAAATAGTCATATTAGTTAAAGTCTTGCAAGAGTTATCATCTTGGCCCTCGCTTCACATAGCAGAGGCAGCACACCCTGCACCCGAAACTCCAGACGTTAACCCTAACCTCGACGCCCGCCAAGTTGAAGTTTATTGACTCGGTGCAAATGTTCTACATCTTTTGCTGACCGGCGGGCCCAACGGCTAGTCCGATCACATACCAGTAGCAGCGCACCCTGCACAGAACCCTATATTCCAAACCCCGAAAGACGCGACTTGCAATACTGACTCGCTGCCCAAGCTTCACGTGATTATCTGGCAAAGGGCCCTAGGCTGGGCCGATCCCTCTCCATGGCGGGCTTTCTGCAACGGTGCAAGGAAGCATGCAAGGACGTGCTTGAAGAGAAATCCGAAAAAACGGAGCAAGGCGCATCTCCGGCGAAGAAGTGGTGTTCGCAGTTCGAGAAACAGCTGTCCAAGCTCGGGGGGGACCTCACGCTGATCAAGGCAGGGTAGGAATTTCTGTAGTCTGGTTCCTCTACATGCCATCCAAATTCAGTTATTGAGGTTGCTTTGCTTGCGTTGTCACAGGAGGTCGTGGACTACCTCAGCTTCTGGCAGCAGGACTCTGCAGATCTCAAGGTGCTGAAGCCCCACGAGCACCCGGCATATGCTGTACTTCAGTTTCTGCATTCTGGAAACGCTGAGCACAACGAGCTGAACAGCGAGCATCTGGAACGATGGTTCGAGTCATACTCCAGAAAGCGGGGCTCCAAAGCTGTTTTCAAGCCGCTGCAAGACTGCGCATCCCGTCTAAAACATTCAGGAATCACACTGAGTAGCTGCAGAGTGCTAGACATTCAGTGCGAAGCTGCGGTTGGCAAGACGTGGGTAACATGACATGAGGTGATTGATGCATCGTCAGCCGGCGATACCGTGAAGCTGCCCATCACGGCAATCAAGTGCCCTGGCCGGGACACTCACAGCGCCAATGCGAATCAAAGCTCAAATGAATGAAGTGAAAATTCTGTCAAGCTCGCAGCCGAGATTCCAGTGCCCACCGGACGGGTTGCCGTGTGTGAGGGACTGGATCACGCTTTTTGAAAGCATGGTCTGCACGGGCATCGACTTGGCCCGTGAGCCTCTCTCTGTCAGCATGGACTTGGCGGACGGCGGCAAGCTTCGACCGGCGACGGTCGACATCTACAAGGGCTTTACAAAAGCCAGTGTCATTGCGTTCTGTTTGTGCGTTTTGACAGACTTGGATGTCGAAGAGCAGTGGCCTTTGATCGAACCCTTCACGACGTTCTTGGACCGTGCGTATATGTTGCCAATGCACGCTGTTTGCTTGAGATTTGAGTGCGATTTGTTTGATTGAGTCCTAAGTGCCCACTGCGCATTCTGAGACTCATTGACTCAAAAAGGTTTCGCTCAGTCTGTCGGCCGTGGACCAGTCCTTCTCCAACCTTGCTTTGAGCTACAGAGGGGCGGAGAGGCAGGCCCCTTCGATCATATCCTTGGCCCTGCGCTTCAACGACGTGCTCAAAACAAAGTCCAAGCAGGCCTGCTTTCCTGCGGGGTCGAACGTCGAGAAAAGAATCGAGGCCATCGTCGAAGAGTTCAACGGCAGCAGCCTTATGACGGCGAGGTTTGCTGTGGACTCAGAGAAGATCAAAGCGATTTCCAACATTATCGTGGGAACGTGCGAGGCCAGGTTCACGACTCGAGCATGATTGTGTTCATTTCATGTATTTGCTTCGTGCGCGTTTGTTTGCGGTCAGCGCCAGGAGACCCTGGCGCTGATGCAGTCTCACTTGCACACGACGAAATGGAAGGATTCGGCATTCAGCCACAACTTGTTGAAGTCGAACAGATGGCTGATTGGCGCCTCCCGGCGAGTTGATCACAACTACATGCGCAGCCTGCTGGTGGTGACGGCACCGATCCAGGCAGCTCTTCACATCTTGAGATCTGCAGAGATTGTAAAGAAGTTGTGAATTTGAATCCACGCATCTTTTGATTCAGGAGTTCTTCGTGCGCAACCACATCCTCGCTTTCTTGAAAGCAGGCAGGCGACTCCGGAGTAGCGCCCGAGCGAAATGCCGGCCGAGCGTGGAGCAGTTCGAGCAAGCCATGGACTATTGCTGCGTGATGTACCACTTGGTGGAGGAGGCCACCAAGCAGTTTCCCAAGAAGGACATGCGTGCCCTGATGCAGGCTGTGGACAACAGGCTCGTCCCATCGTTCACCTTGCAAGTGCTCAGTCAATCAGCTCTCTGCTTGCGTTTCGGACTCCCGGTGTCAGGGAGTTTTACGACGAAGTCATACTGGCTGTGGACACCCAGCTTCCCAATTGGAAGCTCGCCCACCTGACGGTTTGGAACGAGCTCGTCGAGGAACGTGTGCAACATGACCTTTTACTACTACTACTACTACTGCTACTGCTACTGCTCATGCTAGTGCTCCAGTGCCAGTGCCAGTGCGACTGCTCATGCAACTGCTACTGCGACTGCTACTGCCACTGGTACTGGTAGTGGTACTACTACTACGACTGCGACTACGAGTGTAACTACTACTGACTAGTACTAGTACTGTCACTGCTACTGGTACTCTTGGCACTAGTGTACTGGTCCTAGTAGCACGAAAACGACTACTTGTAGTACCACGACACTCCGCCGAGCAGTGCTACTGAGTTCATTATAAAAAATGCGGCAATACAAACATTTTCTCTCCCGACCTCTAACACAAAGGAACACACCCACGTGTAAGGGTACTAGAGGCAAAGGAAAGTTACTCTAATATGATTAAAGTGACGTTTGTTTTACTTCTACGTCGCTATGTTGCAGAGAAGACCAACGTTGTCCTTCCGAAGCAGGAGCCCACGTTGACATCAAGCTTGGAAGGCAATGTTCTTGCAAATGCAAGCCTGGATGACTTGGAGGAGGCCAGGAGCTTGGCGCGGTACCAGGACAGCGCCCGGAAGTTCGCGTATCATTTCTGTGCATCCTTTTGAAAATTCCGAGACCAAGACTGCTTCATGCGCAGGAAGTGATGGCAAAGATAGCCTCGGATGAGGCTTTGTGGGCCACGTATGTGCAGCAGGGCAAGTCCGCAGCAGCCCGAGAGCATGTGCTGAAAGTCTCCCACTCGCGTGCCCAGAACGTCATCGGGCAGGGGTCGCCCAGCCGAATTAATTTTTATGTCGGTGACCGTTTGTCGTCCGTCTCCGATTATGGACTTGAGCTTGCACGAATGACTCCGAAGGCTCGTCGAGTCGGTGATGCAGAAGCGCTGCATGATGCTTTGCGTCCCGGGCGACTTGTCGGTGCCCAACCTGGACACCTTCATGCGCAACGCAGCCCTCGACTTCGGCAAGAAGGCCCCTGGCAGCATGTTGAGAGACCATGTTTTGGCACGAGGGAAAACGTTCCTTTTTCAGGCCACGCTGGATGATGTGGAGCTGGTGGTTTGGACCGACTTCACGAAAGTCGGCGCGGTGAGCTCCGTGATCGTCAATCGGCACATGACATTCCAGGCCAGCCTGGTGTGCAAAAGCGGCGACCGTGTTTTGGCTGCATCGGCCGCATTTGCAACATGCGGTCCAGTTGATGCCAGCGCAAGGTAATCGCACAAAAGCCATTTGTGTTGTAGCCTGCGCAAGGCAACGTTGGCCTGACGATCGCTCCACTCCTGTGCTCAAGCACCTCAGGTGCCGCGCTCAGGAAAGAGTACAGGCCGGATGGGACCATCCTGAGGATAATGACTGAATTTCAAGCACTTGGTAGTCTGTCGCTGTCATCCTAAACCCGGCAGGCAGATCGAAGACAAGCTGGTCAACCTGAACATGGAGTACAGACCCGTGGTTCTGGCGGTGGACCTCGCGGCGGTGCACGGAAACAGGGAAGTCCCAGCCTACTTCGACGCCTACATTGCTGTTCCGGACGTGAACCTGCCTCTGAAAGGAACAGCCTTCAGGCCTGCCTACGGAGAGAAGTCGGACTCGTCTGTTCGCGTGAACAAGTGACTAGTCTGAAGCAGTCGCTGCGAGATGCATTGTTATGAAACTAGTTGATTGCGGTTTTGCAAACAATCGAGGCACACGAACTCGCCGCTGTGGAAGCTTCGTGGCTTGCAGAGCCCTCTGCCGGCCGCGATACCGGAGAGTGAGTTCCTGGTACCGGGTGCCAAGATGCTGATGAACCAGGCGCGCCGCAACCTGACCAACCATCAGGAGACAGGGCAAAGGTAGGAATGCCGTATTTTGTCTTATAATGCTAAGTCATCGACAGGGCCCATGAGGGCTATGGTTACCAACTTTATAAAGGAGACCGCGCAGTGGTTGGGCGGATCGGCCATTCCGCATTCCGTCCTGAAGAGCTTGGGCATCAACGGCAACAAACCAGTTGTGCTCGTGAACACGACCATGTACGATGGCTGTGTAGAACGTGCATGCTACCAGCTGAGTATCCCTGTGATTTCTTTGACGGACACCGCCTCGGTGCTTACCTTCGCCGCGGGCACCGTGGGCCAGGAGCTGTTGGAGGCACACTGGGCTTAGGGGAAGGGGGGTGGAGGTGGGGTTATGGCTCACGCCACATCGGCCGAAAAAGCGTTTAAAGTGCAAACCCTCAGCGCAGTTGGGCGAGAGTGGGAGTTCTTTGTGCGACAGTTTCCAGCATCAGAAGGAAGCAAGTTTATCAAACCAATGGCGCGTTGCTCTTTGTGATTTGCGGAGGACGTATTGGAGTTGTTGCTTGCGATGAGGCTTAGGCTGGAGATCTGTATTGAATCGCTGCTTGTAGAATATGATTACTCGGTCTGAGTAGCCACTTGAATTTAATTGTTAAAGATGATTCACTGGATGACACGTGGGCCACACTGCAAGGAACCTAGATGGACAAACAGAGACAGACACAGCTTGCGACTCCTTCACGCATATGATACGGCACCATGTTGGAATTCAGGACTACGTCGTAAGATACGTTCTGCGCGAATCCAGGGTGATGATTCAGTTTTAATTCTTGTGACTATATCCGATGTTGCCACTAACTCAGCGTATGCATGACTCCAAACGAAGTCTCGGCACTTGTCATTGGTAAAAGAGACGCAATTGAATAATCGACAGACTCATTGAGTTTCGAGCTTTGTGCTGTGACTCAGCCCGACCACAGGAATGGAAGCGGGGCGAAGGCTACATGGGAAGCCAGGTGCCACGGTTCGTGAAAGATCCTCCTCTTTCAGAAATGCCAGCTGCAGTTGCGCTTCCGACTTTCTCCTTGTGCCAGTCCACCGATGGCGTGCTTTTGATACCGCCGCAGATTCGCCAGGAGTTTCTTTGCGATGCCGTGCGGAGCGCTGAATGGCGCTCCTTTCTCAAGCGATTCGACGCAACGTACGGGGCACCCGTGGTGTTCAGCCCTGCCGAGGATGCCACAGCCAATGCAGAGACCTCGTCGTCGTCGTTCGACTGGTCCAAGGTCTTCCAAGACGAGCCGCGTCTGTGCGAGAAGCTCAAGGACCCAAGGAATCGGACGTTGTGCACACATGCCCCATGGATTCCACGAGCTACCCCGGCGTCACTTTGAAGATTGTGGGTGGTGGCGAGGAGAATGAGCCGAAGCTGTTCGTCTGTGCCGAGGCGGACAGCGAAATCAGCTCGGACAAGCCCTTCCTGAACTTTGGTCAAGGCAGTTGGGTCATCGACCAGAAGGCCACGGCTTGGATCAAGGACGCACGCATGCCAAATCAGATCCAGACTCAAGCAGGTTTACATAACAGTCAGATAGCGGCAGGGCTGCTTTGGCGAGTATAATACTTTATCGTCAGGCCTCTGACTCCTTTGACTGAAAAAAGGTATTTTACGAACTGGTTTCAATTTGGTGGGGCCAGCACATTCATCTGTATTCAGACACCATTGCAAGCACCAGTCACGTCATACCACATCGTATCGGGTACGCGTCACGGTTATTCTGCCGAACCTTTCTGGATCTGCAATAAAATACCAGTTGAATTTATTATTCTGATCTTGCTATGAGAATTATTGCAGGAGCATCCCGAGAAATCTGTCGAGTTCGTTTTGCAGAGCGACATGGAGCCGGTGATCTATGAAGAGGATGGCAAGGCGTCTTCGGAAGTCTTGACGCTGCGACAGCTGCTCATCAAGATCGAAGCGGGAGGCTGCGTGGACTTTGAGCTTGCGGGCCACGACTGCAGCCGCACGCTGACTAAAGAGGCAGCTGCTGCAGCTGGCCAGGAAGACAAGCGACTCGCACGCAGTGAATGAGGGAGTAAGGGACAGGTCGGCATGACATTGATGTGTGAATTCAAAGTAGCGAAGCCAAGGTTCAGCGTTGCGAAGAAGGCGGCCCAGCTTATGGTGTTCAAGCCCCATGCCATTCAGCTGAAGAACTTGTCAAACCGCAACATGGCATCCTACTTCGACACCCGTTGCTTTGCTGACAACAACAGTCCCTTGAAGAAGATCTGGGGCATGAGGCTGTACAAGACTGACAAACTTGTCAGTGCTTCCAAGCCTGTGTACTACCTGCGCTCCGCCCTGAAGCTTCAGAAAGGACAGTGCCAGAGAGTCCTGTGATCGATGTTTCTTCCACGATCTTCAAGCGCAAGTCTGCTCAAGCAGTGAAGTGCGCATCACCTGTGGGCATCTCGTCGATGCCAAGGGGAAAGAATGTTTTGTGTGAACCACGTCATGGCTTTGGCAGAAGGTGTCTTCAATCCTGTCGTAAGACCTAACATCAGGTCAGCAGTCAGTGCAGCTGCTCATGCAAGATTTCGCTTGAACATCAGTTCTGAAGCCTGTCAGGTGGTTTGCTTGCCTCGATGCAGTAACGCATCGTCATTTAATTTTCGTCAGTGAAGATGCGGGACCGAAGCCCGTCGGGCATGTTTGCTTGCGTCGATGCAGCCAGGCATCATTTCATTCGTGAGCGAAGATGCGGAACCCAAAACATAGTGTGCTGTGAACCCATGGCACGGCTTTGGCTTGCGGCGTTAGCAGACCTGTCGCAAGATCAGATCATGAGTCCATCAACAGCTCTTCAGGGTTAGCGATTTTGGCTTGAACCTCCGTGCCGAAGCCTGTCACGCGTGTTTGCCTGCTATGATGCAGCCTGGCATCATTTTTGTGAGCGAGGATGCGGAGGTGGACTGGGCACCTCCTAGACTAAGTCCTGGGGGAGGTTTGCCACGTGCAGGCCTACTTGGAGATGGTGTGGCATCGCAGCTGGTGCCTAGCAGGGTGCTGCCGGGTGCAATGGCACAGCCGGTTGGTCTGGGAGCCTCTGGAGGTTTGCCACGTGCAGGCCTACTTGGAGATGGTGTGGCATCGCAGCTGCTGCCTAGCAGGGTGCTGCCGGGTGCAATGGCACAGCCGGTTGGTGTGGGAGCCCTTTGGGGTGGACGTAGCAGAAGCCCAGCTCGGACGGCAGATGGTGACTCGTTGCCGTATCTGTTTCCTGAGACTTCTGACTCTATCGTGACCCCGGTGAAGCCGATCCAGCGTCGTCAGCCTTTCAGCCCGAGTGCTCTGCCTGAGGAATCGGAAGACTCGCAGACTCCTTTGGCTCGGGATTCCTTGAACCGATCGGCTGAGCACCTGGACTTGCCAAGCCTTGCCAACGACAAGAGCGGAGCAAGCGGCCCTGTGAGCCAAGACAACGAGAACACACAGTACTACGGTGACGGTGAGGCCGATTGTATGGGATGGGTTTGGTTTCTTCAGGCAATAACATTAAACTATTCAAAATGAGTGTTGTCGAATTATTGGGTGATTCGTCCTACCTTCTTCATATCCGAAGCCCTGCAACTCATGACATTCACGGTGTAATTTAATGCAGCAACGACAGGATCGGATATTTGCCACCGTGCGTGTGGACCTTCGTTCCCCCGAGACCTCCAAGAAGAGTGAGAAGGTGGCCCTTGAGAACTCGGAGGAAAAGGCGATCGGAGCCAATGACCCTGAGATCGACGACTTGGCAAGCTTTGCCCAAGACGAGAGCGGAGCAAGCGGCCCTGTGAGCCAAGACTTGGCAATCCATGCAGAAAAGGCGATCGGAGCCAATGACCCGGAGAGCGACGGCTTGGCAAGCTTCGCCCAAGACGAGAGCACTTTTGAGGGTCCAGCCTTCGCAAGCTTGGCGACAGTTGCAGAGCACCCTCAGAGTGACGGCTTGGCAAGTGTTGCCGAAGACAGTGACAACACGACCACCGAGCTGGACCTCCGGCCCAGCATGCTCGTGTTCCCCTCAAAGTCCAGTGATTCTTTGGGCGATTATGGCGATTACCATGGTTTGGCGGCAGAGGATGAGCACGGCGTGCTTCAGGCAATACCAGGAGATCTACCTGGCACTGTCAAGGAGCCTGCAGCTCCGTCGGATGCAGCGCAGCCAGAGGCAATGCCGGGACAAGCAGAGCTAGCAGACCCTCCCAGTCATGACTCGAAGTCGCTGGCCCCGGAGCCGCCGAGCAAGAAAGCGAAGGGCCTGTCTGCCGAAGCAAAGTTCTTAGCTTCGGCAACGGCAGCGGAGCTGAAAGAGCTGGACGAGACCTATCCCACTGGCTCGAGGGTGACACCTGAGATGAGCCCTGGCAAGGTCTTGAAGCTGAAGTCATTGCGGGTTTACAGGAAACGCCAGTTGTCAGTCGACTGGCACAAGAACTTCCAATCCAAAGGTGTGCCCAAGGCTACAGCGGAGACCGAAGCCCTGGAGGCGCCTCCAGCCGAGAAGCTAGGGGCGACGGCGAAAAGCAAGGCATCTGCCAAATCCTCAGCACCTCCAGCCAAGAAGCTAGGGGCGACGGCGAAAAGCAAGGCATCTGCCAAATCTTCAGCAAAGGCGAAGGCCAAAATGGCATCGGCAAAGGAAGATGAGAGTGCGGCTGCGGGCAACCTGCGGGCTGCCAAGGACCCCGAGTATTGTTTGCTGTTTTTGTAACATTCGAGTTGGCAGTGCTTTGGTCCAGACTGCGAGAGACATTCCGTTTGTACCGGGAGTATGCCTCTACTTGACGAGTGTTCCTCGAGTTGCTTTTGATGTGTCATCGTATTTCCGTGAGGATGCCTTCATCCGACGATGGCTGGAGACGTGCGAGCTACCACCCTCCAAAGAGAGATTTGTGCAGGCCAATGCGGCTTGGATGTCTTCTGTGGAACGAACGCAGCTGATGGCAGCCAAGCAGGGCAACCAGGTAGGTGTACGCAAGGCATGTTCTTCCAAGTTTTGATTCGGACCGCGTGTGGGAAGAAAGCCACAGCGAATCTCCAACTAGGCTTAGGTTTCATGACAAACGGGCCCAGACAGTGACAGTGGGGGGTGTTATCTAAGTTAAGCTACTGGTACATATAACAAGTTCAAGGCAGGCTGTTTGGCCCGTTACTTTGCGCGTGCGCAGCATGACCTGTGTCACGCACCGGGGACTCATCCGTAGAGCGCGTGAAGAAAAACAGTTTCATGGTACTCGTCTTGAGATTTCTGTCCGAAAGCATTCCTTATGCACGAAGACTCGACAAGCTCGACTTTCTATTTTGAGACTTCCATCAGGAGTCGATACTTCGGCTCCGGAATCTAGTTTTCTGTAGTCTCTAGCAAAGACGGTGTGCAGAGCGAGCACCTGCCTGGAAGTTGGGGATCCGTCGATGCCTGACAGATGGACAAGAAATAGCACAGCTATTATTATTCTGACTTCTGCACAGACAAACTGGCAAGGTACTACATGATGGTCTTTTTGCTGGGCTGCGGCGCACCGAGTCCGAGTGTCGTCAGAGGGTCCAGTCTTGGATGAGTCATGAGTAGATGTCAAGCCACAGCTGCTGAAGGCCCTCGTCAGATTGCAAGGCGTCTGCAATCTGGTCGTCTGACTGTTGACCGTAGCCGTTGAACACCTGAGCAGACCGGATTCTGGAGAAACGCATAGCAGTAGATGTCGCTGTGCAGCTCTGCTTCAGGTCGTTGATGCATCTGTGACGAGCGGAATGACTCCTTATCTTCGATACTTGAACGGCGCCTGCTTCGGGTGGAGGCACGAACGACTTTCGAGATTTCCGGAGACTTTTGGCCATGGCATCCTTTGCTGTCCAGAACACAGTTCATCCCCTAAACCTTAAACAACCCTAAACTTTAAGATGGAAGCAAATCCGCTATTTTCCAAGTCAAGTCACTTTGTTCCTGTGGGGTGTGGCGCAGTCCTTTCGTGAAGCCGGAAAGAGGTGATCTTCAGCATTCCGTGGAAACCTCCAGCAATCCATGAAAGTCACCAAACCCCTGCTGCCCCACATCCTCGTGCGAGAAATCTTGCGACCGCCTTCAGCCTTGAGCTTCTCCAGGAACAAGACTGCGGCTCGGGATAAGGGCTTTAGCATCTCTGCATGCCCCTTGAGTTCCCGAATCCGAATCTTCTTGGTTTCCCAGTGGATGTCCTGAAGCTGCAATCGTAAGACTTCCGTGATACGGCAACACAATAAATGTGCCAAGCACATGGCAATGAGCGTCCACGTAGGTCCAACATTGGCGAGATGTTGGAGGAATGCTGACCACGCTGCTCCGAGCAAAGGCTCTGCTTTTCCTCTTTTCTTGTTCGACACTGGCTTCTTCGCGTTTGCAGCTTGGGATTTCCTCTTGACGGGTGCCATCGCCAAAGCTGCTTGCTAGCCGCTAGCCTGATTCCGCTGAGCACGGGCCAAAACATAACAATGCTGCTTGACATGACATCGCTTCTTTCAGAACCGATTGCTCTGAGAGTGCGCTTACTGCTCGGTAGGCGCCCTCCCACAGCCCCCGAGAGGACTCCCCCAGCCCCCGAGAGGACTCCCCAGGCCCTTGAGAGCACTCCCAAGCAACCTCGGCGAACTCCCCGGACCCTCAGCGAACTCCCTTGCTTGTTGAAAGCCCCTGCTTGTCGGAAGGGAAACCATCTCGGTTACCGAGGCCCTGTAGGAACTGGAATGTTCTGAGTCAGAGCCACTCCTGCCCGATACATGCCAGGCCTGCACCGCCAGTGGAAGACACAGAGCAGAAGGCCTGGGACAGGGTTGTACTATTACTAATCTATACTGTTGCTGCTGCTTCTCTGGCTTCTCTGTCATGTGCTACGGCTTCTGCTTTGCTGCCAAGACGACGGTGACTTTTTGCATGTGCGGTGGGGCATGGCTGGTCTGTTGCTGTGGTTCGGCGGCCTGTCGTTTCCCTGCATGGATGCTGTGTTTCCCCTACCAACAGAGACTTTCGGGCTCTTCACAAGTCTCTGCACACGGGTTGGCCACCGTGTGGGGTGCAGGTCCGGCTTGAAAGCACATGGGGTGTTGAAGCCAACTCGCAACGAGCTCGATGCGAATGACAGCGAGACGATGAGCTAATGTGCTCGCTGGCACCCCTGCTTATCTGGAGGCACGAGGTCATAACGTGCGGGGGCAGGGCCCACCCCGTGCCTATGGCCTGCTGCCGATAGACCGGAGTATCGTGCTGGTGGGAGGCCGTTGGGATTGCAAACCTGTGGGTCGTGGCGACAGCCCTACCGAAGGGGTGCCCGGCACATGACAGAGGCACCTCTCGCACCATTGGCCGGGTGTGGGGCGAGGGTCTTGCACCGCTGGGGAACCTGGCCGCTTTGGGGCCAACCTGCCAGTGCCGGCAGATGACAGCAGGACGAATGCGCTAATGTGCCTGCTGGGGTGGCCAGGGTCCTCGCTTGGCGGGAATCTGCTGAAGCGTGCAAGCCCTTTTGTACGGGAGGCCGTTGATGCTGATAAGTGTAGTCTTTTCATGCTCGTGATTTTTGACGCTTGCGAGCCCTGACATCGAATCGATCTTCTCCCCATTTACTACGACTACAACTACGACTACTACAACGAGGACAACTGACTACTACTACGAACACTACTACTACTACTACTGCTACTACTGCTACTACTACTACTACTACTACTAGTACTACTACTACTACTACTACTACTACTACTACTACTACTACTACTACTACTACTACTACTACTACTACTACTACTACTACTACTGCTACTTCTACTACTACTACTATAACTACTATGACTACTATTGCTACTATTGCTACTACTACTACTACTACTACTACTACTACTACTACTACTACTACTACTACTACTACTACTACTACTACTACTACTACTACTACTACTACTACTACTACTACTACTACTACATGCCCGCATTTAAGACCCTCTGAAATCCGAGCAGTTTTGTATTCTGCGGGTGTCGGAGAAAGCTTTGAACCCTTTCGGTGCATGTTGCTGCAAAGCCTGACAACGAACCTGACCATCAGTCATACCCGGCAGCCAGCCTCCTCACGAAGCCACCCTCCGGCAAAAGTCCAAAACTGAGAAGCCTGGCGAGGAAAGATGTGGTCTGCCTCTTGGCAGAGGTCAAGGGGTGTCGCGGTTGGATCTTGACGAGGCACCGACACTCGAGTGATCGGGCTTGTGCTGTTGGCAGGAAGTATGTACCAGCACACATCACATGTTGATCTTCACAGACACCAATTCTCTCTCTCTCTCTCTCTCTTTCTCTCTCTGTCTTTGTCTCTTTCTATCTCTGTCTCTGATCTCTCTCTCTTCTCGCTGTCTCTTGCTGTCTCTCTTTGTATCTTTCACCCTGGCATTGTCGCTCTGGCGCTCTCTATCTCTCTCTATCTCTCTCTATCTGTCTCTATCTCTCTCTCTATCTCTCTCTGTGTCTCTGCTCTCTGTCTCCCTCCGTCTCTCTCTGTCCCTCTCTGTCTCTCTCTGGCTCTCCCTGTCTCTCTGTAATCAGCTTGGGTTTAACGCGTGGGTTCAGGTCTGGGGCTAGGGTTTATGTTGTTTCTTTTGATTCCTTTTGTTCTTTTGGTTCCCATCTCAGCACGAAGTTGGGGCTCGCTGTGTTTGGATAAATTCTGTGCCCGAATGCAAAACTGTGGTTCTCATCTAGGCTTACTGAATCCAAATATGTCGAACAAGTTTCCGTGTTTCTAACAGCGCGACTCCATGAAAGATGTTTCCGAACAACATCGTGAACACCAAAAAAATCATGTCAGTTTGCAATCCAAAACACCTCGGTTAACAGACAGGTTTTCCGGAGGAGTTCTGTTGTCATTTTATTCAGTCGATGAATTAAGGTGGGCCAATCTCAAGGGGCGTGTGCAAAACGTGCGCTGTGGCCCCAAACACTGTTGCAATCCTGTTCTAAGTTTTGCACACCAAGTCGCACTTTGGATGATCTGACCCGCTTGTGCATGTGTGCGTAAGTGCACGCCAGCGTCGTGGACTATCATTCGGTGGGCAGCAAGGCCTGGCTCAGCCTGGGGATACTTCGACAGCGGGAGAGACAGGCTTAACTTTCAGGGCTTCTAACGAAAATACATCCTGAAACCCCATTTCGTGCAATTCCTCTTCCTCTTAGTAGAGCTTTCTGAAGTGAAGCACGGGAAACCACTCCAGCATCTTATGGGAAAATTGAATGAAAGGGGGGGAGGGGAGGGGAACAACGAGGTATGTGGACAACCAAGCAGAGTGCGAGGCAGACAGGCAGACAAGCCAATCAGACGGGTTTAGGGTTTAGGGTTCAGATCGACAAGAGAGAAATAGAGAGAGGAACATAGGGAGAGGGATCAGACGGTGAATCGAGACTGCTCAATAACATGCTGTGTGCGCATGATGCACTGCTGAGAGTTCTGCAGACGTGCGCAACCTCTGCATGAGCTTGAGGCAACGACGAGCCTCCGAGTCCTTCCAAAGAACCTCGGCTTGGCTCAGTTCTCAGAATTCAAACTCCTGGACATGTCATGCTGTCTGATTTCTTCAGCTTCTGAATTCTAGAGTGACACTGCCAGTGGCTTGATTATAGCCTGACCTGTATGCCACGCAGTATCAGGTTCCAGCATTTGATGATGTGCGGCAATCATGTGAAAAGGAGGGCATGCTTCCTCCCCCATGTTTTCAAACATTTCATCTCCATGAGACGACAGACCAGGACTCACAACAGAGATACATCATGATGCAGAAGAGCTTCAGAATCAATCAAAACTTTCCAAGCCAGGACACAAAGCAGACGACATAACAGTATGAACCCTCATGGGCATTCGCTGCCTAAAGCTCCCCAGGGCCCACCGACTGTTTTGGGACCCAGTGAAGGACTGCCGATCAGTCCAGAAAAGAGGGTGACTTCGGCACCGGCTACCCCGCCCCTTCCTCGTGACCGTGGTAGTGCAGCAGCAGGAGCAGCTAGACCACTTACAGCTGGTGCAGCTCCTCAGCGACCGCCTCTGGGGGCTCCTCCCACAGCTGGTGCAGCTCCTCAGCGACCGCCTCTGGGGGCTCCTCCCGCACCTAGACCAGTTGCGGCGCCCCTTCCTCGTGGTGGTCCGGCTGCAGGAGCAGCTAGGCCAAAGACAACAGGTGCATCATCGGCTCCTCAGCGACCGCCTCTGGGGGCTCCCGCACCTAGACCACCTGGCGGAAGTGGAGCAGCTGGTGGATCGGCTCCTCAGCAACCTCGACTACCTGCCGGCGAGCCTCCTCAGCAACCTCGAGTACCTGCCGGCGAGCGGATCTCTCAGCTTCCGGAACTACCGTCGGAGTGGAGACTGGCGAACCCGAGCGCGGGCAAGCCTCACCAAACTGGGAACTTTTCCGACCTCCTCCGACTGGCCAACAGAAAGTTGCGGCTTATGCACGCGAAGTGGCAGGAGGAAGTCTCGGCCCTCAAGTCCAGTTCATCCCAGGGCAAGGTGGACACGGTGCTTGAGAAGGCTTTCAAGTTGCGCGTGGAGCAGCTGGAGGGCGAGAAGAAAAAGCTGGCAGAGCAGCTGGAGGCTGAGAAGGAGGCCAAGACCGCGGAGCTGGAAAAGGTTCGAGAGCAGGCAAAGGAGGAGATGAAGCAGAAGGAGCGTGAGCTTCAATCTGCGCAGCACCAGATTGAAAGTGCCGCTTCTCGACTTCGAAGGGCAAAGGAACGGCACGACACGTTCCGTTCCACCGTGAGGGCAGCCGTTGCCAAATGGCATTGCAAAACAAACTACCTGGAGCGAAAGGCGAACAACGCGAAACAGAGGGCTGCGAATGCCGAAGAGCTCCTCCAACGAGCACAGCTGGAGAGTGAGCTGAAGAAGGAGCGGCGACTCATCAAGGATGACATCATGTGTAGTGTGCTTCTCGTGCCCCGGTCTGCGCAGGATCTGGCACCGGGAAATCGTCCTGCTGGTGGTGTGCAGGCAGCTTCGAGTGAGTTTGGGGTCACGTGTGCTGCATTTCAGACGGTGCCAATTCGTCGTCTGTCTAGGACCCGCTTCCCAGACGGTCACCTTTTGACCCGGTGCAGGACTGCGTTGGGTCATCTCTGTGTTGAGAGACAGAGTGCACGATGTCCTGGTCTAGGAGCCTTCCGCAATGGTAACGACAGTGGAGCTGCCACGAGGAACAGGGCGAGACAGTTCGCAGGACTGTGTGGGCTGACGTGTGTGTGTGTGTGTTCTTGTTTCAATGGTCTGGTGAAATAGGAGGCTACAGCGGCTATGGCGAGCGGAGAGCTTCCGCCAGGGGAGGCGGCTCGCAACTCAGAATGAGATAGTGTTAAATTGAACCCGGAGTGCCCCGCAGGAGCGCATGGTGCCGCACACGCCCAC